CTGCCTTAGAATATCCCTTGTTCAGAACTCTCAAGCCAGTAATCATAGTTTGGAGCCTTGAGAACATATCTTCTATAGATTCACTTTCCTTCATCTTGAAGGCTTCATACTTCTGGACGAGAGCCAGATCTTTAGACTCCTTCCCTTGAGTGTTTCCTTCATGAGTCATTTTAAGAGACTCAAACATATCATGTGCAATATCTCTATTTGTAATCTTTTCATATTCCACTTTAGAGATAACATTTAGAACAATATTTCTAGCTCTATGATGATTTTTGAAATCAGCTTTTTGCTGTCTATCCATATTTTTCCTATCATATTTCCTTCTGAGTCAGTAGGATGTTTGTAACCATCCAAGACTATATCCCATAAGTCACTATCATGACCTAGAAAAAAAATTTCTAGTCTATCTTTCCAATAATCAAAATCTTCTCCATCAAACACTAGAGGTCTGGTGTAGTTATTGTTGTTTTGTTCATTTGCCATTGTGTTTTCTTCTGGATCTTTTCCTGACACGGTTAAGTGTTGAACTCAGAGTCAGGCTCTGATACCAATTGAAGGTGGAGAAAACACTTAGAAGGGGGGTGGGGGGAGTGGGGGTTGGATAAGTTTCTCTTTTTCTTTTTCTTGAATGCACAACAATAATGGAAAGACAAGGATATTTTTATCCTGGTTCGTTTGAACTCAAATTACTCCAGTCCACCCGCCAAGGTGATTTCACCTTTCTCAACAAGGACTTAATCCACTATAATCAACTGATTACAATCACACAACAAATGTTGTGACTAACAATGCACAAGTAATCTTACAAGTGACTCACACCATTAAGACTTAAACTAGTCCTAGTCTACTTGAGAATTCTGACCAACCTTGGTCTCTCAAGGAACAATTACAAGATATAAATCTTTACAGATAGTGAAATAAAGTTTGCTTCTTAGAAAGCTATATCACAACTGTGATTTTTCACTAAGAATATTTTAGCACAAAGTGTATGAAATAATGAATTTGTGAGCCCAGAATATTTTGCGTAGCTTTTACTTTTGATTTAGTTCTATTCAGAACTTCATACGTTCAATCTTTCAGCGTTTCAACAATAGTGCGTTTGTGCGTTTGAGCGTTAGTTGGCTTGCAATTAATGTTCTTCTATATATAGCATGATAAAACATGACCGTTGCTGCCTTTAAATGGAGAGCATTAAATGTTTGCGTGTTTCCTTGCACTATTCCATTTTCCAATGCACTAGCGTAGACACTTGAGTGCATACAGCCGTCTTTGCATCAAATGAGCAAACGATACTTGTAAGAACATGTTTCCTGAAGCTTGACAAGACAAGCTGGCGTTTACATTCTTTCAAAACTTACTTCAACGTCTTGAATTCAGAACATGCTTGCTTATCTTCTAAACAATGCTTTGCTTGCTAAGAACTTGATCAGCGCTTGCTTTCATATAAACTTCTGAATAACACTTGCTTTCAAGTAATGTTCTGAACAAGGAATCCTGCTAAGTGTTAGAAGATGCAATTAAATAATTGTCTTACCAGAGTCAGCAACAACAGTTGCACTTAAAGAAAATAGTTCTTTCAACAAAGAACTTCTTCATTAATTTTTAGCTCAGCACATCAAAATGCTTCTGTCAGAATATTATCTAAAACAGTCAAATACGTTCATCGGAGTATAAATTATCTAAAATATGATTTATTGTTATCATCAAAACTCTGAGATATGATCAGAACTAATCTTGTTCTAACAAGTTCTCCCACTGTATCACAGAACTTGTGACTCTACTAAGGACTATACTTAAAAGTGGGGTTACCTTAGAGACTAGATCACCTTTAAATGCTTTCATTGTTTGAATTGTTTACTTTACATTTTGGGTCGTTGTTTATGTTTTGTATTGATCCTCTACCCGGATTAGGGGACATTATTAGGTAAGTAGCAATAGATCATGGGGACTGTGCGGGGTATACTAACATGGTTGAAGCGATGGCTACATTAGTCTGACACATTTGTTGGTACCGGTATCCCTTGAGTCCAGTCAAGGAGAATACGAGACCGATGTGTGGTGTCATGAAGCACTAACTGACCGTAGAACCTTTAATTGAACAACTTGGCCATTAGGAAGTAGTGAGATAGCTGGCTTTGGTGCAGTCCGAAGTTGGTTGATACTCGATGCTACATTCATTGAGATCAGACTTTTGGGATATTTCGGTCGCCAATAAAGAGGCTTGCACTGAAACAATGTCCGATGAAGAAAGATCAATGATGTTGAGATTCCCTAGAACCCGATTACTTTCAAGGATAGGTTGAACCAACTAAACTTCAAGAGGGTACTTACCTATGAACTCCATGCAAGCCTAAACCTAAGGACTTGTTTACTTTGATTGTATATGTTTATTTGCACATAACATCATAACATCATACCATAGCATTTTCAATAACCATTTCAAGGACCTCAAGGGTTTGTGATGCAGGGTTATATTGAACCAGGCATCTATCAAGGGACAAGAGGATTTATTTTCCTCTAGCCAAATGCTGTCAAAAAACCAAAGCACGATAACTTAAGTCAAGGGCTATGACCTACTTGACATGGTGAGCTTGATTCTCGTAGAAGGACATTCAACGATATAAAGTTCTTCAATCAAAGCTGTAATCAAAGTTGAACTTTTAACATTTTCTTGTGTTTACCCTGTGAGATCTTTGGAAACATTGCATCCACATATCATGCATCATATCATGACAGGTTTTCCCCATACAGGTTTTCTCATCCGCTTGTTGTTTATTTCAGTAAAAATGGCTCTCGAGCAGACTATCCAAGATCTTCAGACCCAAAATGATCAGCTTCAAGATTTGTTCCTAAATTTATCCAAGGGGCAAGAAATGAAGGCACTCCTCATTGAGAACATCACCAAGAAGAATCCTGAAGGCGACAAGGATGTCCAGTTGAAGAAATTGCAAGCAGAGATAGCAACAATGAGAATCCAGATGTTGGGACGAATGGCTCTTATCTATAACTTAGCCCGGGGACAAGAAGAGCTGAGAGCCCTCGTAAACAAGCTTCATCAAGATGGATGCAACCGTATGAAACAAACACTCAAGGCTGGGGATCAAGTCATTAATCATCCTCCAATGAGACAAGAAGTTGATTTGGTCGAGAGAACACCTTTCAAAATGGCTATCACACTGAGTCTAACAACGACCTCGCCAACAACGACAGAATAGTTAGCGTAAGCAAGATATGCCCAAAAGATAATTTATCGAGATCAATATGTCCTTGGCTCAAGCATTGCATCATGTGTTGGAAGCCAAGTTGGTTGCATTGAGGGAGCCTCCTTAAAAACCTAATACTTTTTCTCCCTGTTACAAACATAATGAAAGGTGTGCATACCATTCCAACAATCGTGGACACGACACTAATCACTGTTGGGCGTTGAAGAACAAGATTCAAGACCTGATCGACGAAGAAGTGTTGGAATTCACACAAGATGATCAAATTGAGTTTTCTGGCACCCCTCAAAGGCACGCCATCTAAAGTGACAAATTTAGGAAGAGAAATTTTTGTTCATTTGAATTTTCAGTTGTAATTTCTTTGTTTGCTTAAACACTTATCTTTATGTCAGACTTTGGTTTTTCTGACTAATGCATTGCATATGTTTTTCTTGAGTTAATCCATTCGTTTTCACTATACTAAAATTATGCTTTTATCTCTTTTTGTATGATATTCAAATCTCGACTATAAGCCTTAAGCCTTTAGAGGGAGGATGACAAAAATAATACCATAATCTCATACAGTATGCTTTAGGACAGACCTTGCTGACGATGTACAAGCGTTGTTTCAAACCCTAAACAGTGGAGTTATAAGGAAGATAATCCCTAGTCAATCCCTTTGAGCCAAAGAAGTAGGACTTTTCGTTTTCACATAAACTGAAACATTTAATCATAACCTGGGGAAGGGTAGTTTCTCAGTTAATTCGAATGCGCATTCAGTTGCGAGCTGTCACTTCACAACGAAAAGATCCTTCTGAATCAAAAAATGGTGTTGGTTCCCTATAAAATAGACAGTCTTTACCTCTCAAAAATAAAAGCCCATTAGGTCAAAGCCTATGAAGGAGACTTAAGAAAAAACTGGGGCATCCCGCTGGTTGTAATCTCAAAACAAGAGCAGTTAGGCAAAAATTAGGGATAGTAGATCAAAAAAGAGGTCACTACAAATTCTCGACAACATGTTACAAAAATGACTGCATTCCCAAATAAACTTCCAATATCTGAACCATCACCAAAATATCATTCCAGATTCTAGTAGGAGATAAACGCGTGATCGACTGAGTTTAGGACTGGAGAACATCATGGAGAACGGGTTGGGTATAAATAAACTTTGAGCCTAATCCTTTGTTTTTTAAATTGTGAACCAGGCCACGTTACAACCCTTTAAAAGTCCTAATTGAAGCATAGGTTAGTCCGAAAGCATGTTGTTACAAAAGGTATCCTGACTCCTGTAAGGTTTACTATAGATCCTGAGTTGAATTCATATTCTTACAAATTTTTGTTGCTCTTTAAAAGTGCATTTTTAAAAAAAATTCTCGAGACAGACATAAATTTTGCATTGTTTGAATACCACTGTTTGCATATGGATAATTGTTTGACAATGGAGAAACTCGCACGACAGATATCCAATGAACGAAAATTCTCTCAATAAACAGAATCACTTCAAAGGGAAAGACGCCTCCTATGACAAATCTCACATAACCAAGGGGCATGACATGACCATATAGGGCAGTTAAGTCGATATTCAAAGAATATCTCAAGAAGTGCTGGATAGTCAGGGGCAGATCTCCATCTGAATCACTTGGGAGCAATGTTACATTGATCATGGGCATGAACAAAATCCACTACGAAAACCTCTGATACCGCCAAATTGCTTGTATGTGCCAGTAGTATCAGACGGTGTCAGTATCATGTCTTCAGATCCTTCCATGACAGTTCTTAGAAAATACCGAGACTTGATCAAAAGATCTTGGGTACCACCAAATTGCTTGTCTGTGTCAGTAGTATCACACGATGTCAGTATCATGTCTTCAAATCCTTCCAATGATTCTATTCCAATGAGCTATGCAGAAATATCAACATTTTGAATTGTAAACAAACACAAGTAGGAATTCCCTTAAACAAGGTCTTTAAATAAACCAAATTTGTCTCAAAGGGACTCCCAGAACATGCATCTCTAATCCTACTTCTCATGGCAAAGAAAGAGGTAAACAATGCAAGAAAAATATAGGCAAGGGAAATACCAAACAGATATCAATCCATAGTAAAGTGTATCAAGACAAAGAAACCTGACAGTCTCCGTGCAAGCTAGGATCAACAAGCAAGAGTTGACATTCAGATGCGCAAGAGTCGCGTTCAGTGAATAAACATCAAGTAAGGATAAATTGCAAGGAAGAAGCGCAGCACGTGAAAATAAATCATAAACAGTATCAGATAAGAATTTCAATTCATGCATCAAATGAGAAACAATGCAACCGGACAAAACCAACATCGCAAAGAAAACTTCCCAAAGTATCAGATAAGGTCTAAGTGTAAACTATGGGACCAAAATGAAGTGAATCGAGAGCCACTGAGTATTGCGCTTTATTAAATAATGTTAGAATAGATTCATGTAGGAATCAACTCAAAGAGGTCAAACAAAATATTTGTGTTCAAACACGTTTGATAGAATTGATAGAATTCAACGTTCGGAATCGCAACACAATGATGAGAATATCAACATAAATTAACTTTATTTACAAGTGAATCGGATCAAATATAAAACCAAAAGTTCTATGTATAATTATATATTTACATTACTAAATATCAAATTAAAGTAGTAAAAAATAACAATGTAAAAGGAAAGGTAAGCGATAAAGCGCGGAGATGCCAAGAATAAATGGGCTTGAGCCGTCTTTAGGAACCTTTACAATGACAAACTCATTAGTAGTATAAGAGGGATAAAAATGAAATGAAACTAGCAACAATTTACATGTAACCAAATTTCTTGACCACAATTGACATACATGTATGAATGAAAGTCACAAAGGTAGAAAACGTGGTTCCAAATGCAAATTAGCACTCAAATGTGAGTCAACAAAATAGATGATAGAAGCATCCAATTCGATAACTCATGGCATAACCAAATTAAACTTAAAGCATGAAAAACAAGTTTCGAAATAAGCTTGAATCAATTAAATTGAAAACTGGGCAGCAACTACATAATCACAAATATGCTCAAACAAATTCATCTCATTCAAGGCAAATGGAGTCCTCAACAAGATGCCATAACCAAATTTGCCAACCAAACACAACCAAATTATACCATACAATACATATTGAAACAAATGGACATTTGAAAATTTTAGTTCATGAATCACATTAGCATTTTATGATAAACAAAAACCAGAACACAAGGTGTTGATCTGTGCGGACATTAAGAAACTTTCACACTAACTACTAGACTTTAAATTTATGTATGAACATCCCAAGATTTAACTAGCAAAATTCATGCCAAGGGCTCACTAGCAAACAAATTACTAGCAGATACATTCTTAACAAAAACTTCATAAGCAAATATATGCTCACAAATCATGTATACGACAGCATCAATGTGGAAAAAAAACTTACATAACTCCATATTAAAAAGGAAAACAGAATTGAGTCATCACCAAAGTAATATACAATAAGACATGTTCAAGGATGGTAACTTCAAAATTATTAAATCTATGTTCTTAGAACAACTAAAAGCCTTCACAATATGAAGGCAAGGCGTTACTGACCTGAAGCTGGACAGAGGGAAGCGGATTGATAATGTTGCTGCCTCGAATTGATGTAGCTGTGGATGTTGTCAACGTTGGAGAAGTGACAGTGATCTTGCTCTTCTCGCGTGAAACAGTAACAGCATCAGCTTGTGCACCTTGATGAAATTCCGGAATCGAGGCTTTTCCGAACGGAAATCCGTGGTATTATCGAGTCAGATCTGAACTCGAACAAATGAAACAAACTCCGAATCACAGGAATCGGACATCTAGCTCTTGCTATCACCTGTAAAACAAAAAAATAAACAGAAAATTAAAGATGAAATCGAAATCGGCGACTGATGTAGTCCGGATCCGATCTTGTTAGTGTTGATTTACGATGGTTGAAATGAGGTATCCGTGAGTTGTTCGGAGGAAGTAGTTGTGAGAGCGGAGACGGTGGGTGTTCAGCCGATGGAGTTACAGAGGGAGTTGTAGATGGTGGTGTTCGGAAGGGTGTATGGAAGTGATACAGAGAGGTGGCGGAGGGAGTAGCGATTGCAGGTGGCGGAGGGAGTAGCGATTACAGGTGGCGGAGGAGATCGAGGGAGTATTTCGTTTTTGTGGTTTCTGGATCTCAAAATGTGCCTCCTCCGCGTTTTCTTTTGAATTCAGTCCCTCTCCCCGTGTTACTCCGTACTCCCTCCATTTTAAAATAACTACCATTTTAATAAATAAAATTTATTTTAAATTGATTATTATTCTCACTTTTTAAAATAAAAATTATTATTACTTTTTCAATTGTATTCTTTAATTGTTACTTTTAATATTTATTATAATCCATTAATAGCGTTAGTTTAGTAAAAGTAAATTATTTTACAAAAATATCATTATATTTCTTAATTAACATATAAAAATTTTAAACGACAGTTATTTCAAAATAGAATGAATAACAATTAATATATATAATTAAATTAGGTTTGAAATATTATAATAATACCAATATCATCTCTAATGATAAATTTGACTTTAAAAAACGAAAAGATTAAAAATAAACTTATTTGAAATTATTTTTCTTTTGATTTTTCGTAATAAAAATGGGACACCTAAAATTATAAAATATAGACACTAAATTAATCGAAAAAATAAAATGAACGCATTAAAATAAACTATGAGTCTCAAAGATTAATGAAAGATTATCAAAATGGTCAGAAATGAGATAAAATGATAATAAAGAATATCCGACTGCAAAACGCTTAGGATTAAAAACGAGATTTCAAACTATAACGAAAAATTAAAGCGCGCACACTGTCACAATCTCCACGAAACGTAAATTCACAAAACAGTCAGTTAAAGGTGAAAATTTGAAATATTTTCCCGCTAATTTTCCGCACAATGTCAAATCGCTTTTAACAATATGTTCATAAAACTGAAATATCAATATTACCGACATATAAACAACTTGGAGTGATGCATGAAGCAGGTAAAGAGGTAAAAATACATGAAGTGAAATATCATATATTTTACAACTATAAAACAATGCAAATGTTGCTTTAGACTGACTTTTGTTCAACCTAATTACGACTAAATAATGCAGATACAATGAATGAAGATGTTTATTAAAGATTGTGCCCAAATAGCAAAATGTGACATGATAGTGCGACTAAAAAAATTATGGACAAAAGTTACTTGAAAATAGGTCAAAAATTCACACGACGACATCTGATGTACTCAAACTTTTGATAGCCTTCTATACATAATTAGCTCTTGACTTGTAAAAGAGAAGTTGAAGATGATGTCAAAGAGATTCACATGTCCGAAGAAACAATCAAAAATGTTGAATAATGAAGAAGTTATGAACTTTTGAACACCCAAAAAACAATGAACCAACAAATCCAAACTTTAGAGTATTTGCATATTCTGAGGTCCTCCTCCAAGAATTGGCTCTTGACCCGAACATATGAACTGTAGAAAATTTTCAAGATGGTCCTTACGCCTGAAAAGCCACTCCAAAATACTTTTCATGTCAGTAGTTATGAATTTTTAAAGTCACACTGCACAATACTACTTTTCTGCTCAAATTGTTCTGAATTGACTGAAACGCTTGATTTTCTCTACAATTCAAGGCAAGCTGGAACACATGAGAACTTGTGATGGTGTGGACTTGATTGTCCACTGATCATATATCCTAGGGAACACTTTGAATGTGTTGAATGACAAAATAAACATCTTTTATAACCTGGCGAAGCTTAACATAAATGCCTTGATCTCATAACCATAGAACCAATGATATGTATGTATGGATATGATGATGAAAAATAGTCCAATTAAGGTTCGGATGAAGAGGACAAATTTTGGGGTACAACAGGTGACTCAATTGGTATTAACGGGATACTTGGTCGAGCTCAAGATCAAGGGAAGATAATAGGCTAGAATCAACATCAAACATTGGGTGTGTAGGGTTGCATTGCTACGTTTCTCATGTAAGAATTTTTTTGCAAAGTAAGAATTTCATATCTCAATTCCAAATGGAATTAGGGGCAGACCTAACCATAGCAAGGACGATTGGTGAAATTCCTAAACAAATCATTGTGTTCTCTCTCTTTCTTTCTCTCTCTCTCTCTCTCATTTACTTCTATATACTTTCTATAACAAATTGTTAAATTCATTGATTGCATAATCGATACGTGTTGACAAATCCTTTTATTGTTAGAATTGAAATTGCTTTGTTGATTACATTACAATTAATTATATTGTAAGTGGTATTTCATATCAATAAAGTTCAAGGAAAATTTTGAAAAATTGATTGTACACCAAGTGTTTGATAATTTGCTAGTTTATATTTTTATCAATAATTTCATTAGAAATAAGTTTATATCGTGCTCATATTAAAATAATTAATTGAGAATATATTGTATTAATAGCTTATCATTGTTTCACATTCCATTTGGTTTCGAACACATATCCGGGTTTCAATAGTCGGTTCGGTTTAAACGAATTGTTTGATCTACGCTAAAACTTCCGCTTGCCATAGTTTTTTATTTGTTTTCAAAACAAAAATTTTAAAAAGGTATTTTTACTTTGGAGATCTATTCACTTCCTCTAGATAAGTTTACATCGTCTAACAATATAAATAAATTTCATCTCTATTTCTAAAGACCAAGGGATATCTCACATAAGGGGACAACAACAAAGGAAAAATTATTGGCATAGGCAAAGTTGGAGTACCGCCTTTCACAACTATTGAAGATGTACTTTATGTTGAAGGAATAGAGCACAATCTTCTAAGCATAAGCCAACTTTTTGACAAAGGCTTCAAAATCAAGTTCACCAAGGATGCATTTTTATTGAAGATTAATCCACTCATGAGGTAAAACTCAAAGGTAAAAGAATTAATAATATTTTCATAATTTCTTTAGATGATTTATCTTTAAAAGTAAAATGTATCATAGTAAGCAACAATGACTCATGGCTTTGGCATAAAAGAGTAGTCCATATTCATATGAAACACTTAAACAAATTAGTTAGACATTAGTAATTGGTTTACCAAAGATAACATTTGTCAAAGATAAATTATGTGATGCTTGTCAAAAGAGAAAGCAAATCAAATCAACTTTCAAGACAAATAATATGGTATCAACTACAAGGTCACTTCAATTGTTGCACATGGACTTATTTGGTCCATTAAGAAAAAAAGCTTCAGAGGTAATGTATATGCACTAGTTCTTGTTGATGATTTTTCTAGATATTTGTGGACTTTGTTTCTTGTGAAGAAAAATGAAGCTTTCAAGCATTCAAGAAATATGCAAAGCAAGTATAAAATTAAAAATCATTAAAGATTGCATCAATTAGAAGTGACCATGGTGGAGAGTTCCAAAATGCATCATTCAGAGAGTTTTGTGAAGAAAATGGAATCTTCCATAACTTCTCAGCACCAAGACTCCACAACAAAATGGAGTGGTTGAAAGAAATAACCAGTCTCTAGTTAAACTTTCAATAACCATGCTAAGCGAATCAAGTCTTCCAGATTATTTTTGGGCGGATGCGGTAAGCACAACATACTATGTAAGCGATCGAGTTATCATTAGACATATTTTGAAAAAGGCTCCATATGAACTCTTCAAAGGAAAAAAAGTCAAATTTTGCTCACTTTCGTATATTTTGATGAAAGTGCTTTATCATCAACAATGACAAAGATATCTCAGTAAGTTTGACGAGAAACCCGACGAAGATACTTTCCTGGGTTACTCTCTCACTAGTAATATTTATAGAATTTATAATAAAAAACTTTAACTTTTGAAAAATCTATGCATCTTTCTTTTGATGACTCTAACACCTTTAAGGAGGATATAGTTTGTGATGATGATGATATTTTAGAAATGCCTATAGAAGACGTTTCCAAAAATGATAAGGTAAATTAATCAGAACACAAATAAGAAACCATCCAACAAGACCAAAATCAAAGTGATCTTCTTCAAGAATGGAGAATCCACCGTGATCACCTAATTGAAAAACTAATTTGTGACATAAGTAAAGGAATTTCAACAAGGATAAATCTCAAGGATGCTTACTTGAATATGGTGTTTATTTCTCAAATAGAATCTTCAAAGATTAATGAAGCCTTAGAAGACGACCAATGGATACTTGTCATGCAAGAAGAATTAAATTAATTTGAAAGAAATCAAGTTTGGGAACTTTACGAGAATGGATGTTTAAAGAAAAAACTAGACGAGAATGGTATAATTGTTTGAAACAAAGCAAGGTTGTTGTCTCAAGGGTACAATCAAGAAGAAGGAATCAACTTTGAAGGAACATTCGGTCCGGTTGCAAGGTTAGAGGCTACTAATTTATTACTTGCTTATGCTTATTCATTAAAATTTCAGTTATTCCAAATGGACGTCAAGAGATCCTTTTTGAATGGACACATCAATGAGGAAGTCTATATTAAAAAACCTCTCGATTTTGAAGAATTCAAGATTCCTTCACATGTCTTCAAGTTGAGAAAGGTTATTTATGGCTTAAAGCAAGAACCACGAGCATGGTATGATAGACGTAGCAACTTTTTATGTGAAACAGGATTTGAAAAATATAAAGTTTATAAAAACTTTGTTTATTAAGAAAATCAAAAGTCATACTTTATTGGTTCAAGTCTATATTGACGACATCATATTTGGATCAACAAATAAAGATCTATGTGAAGAATTTTCATTGATGATGAAAAGATAGTTAGAGATTTCTAATATGGGTAAGATGAACTACTTTTTTGGACTACAAATTAAGAAACTAAAGCATGGAATATTCATCAACAAATCCAAGTATTGCAAATAATTGTTGAAAGGTTTGATATGGATAATTGCAAAAAGATAGATACTCCAATGGGTTTCAGAACATATGTAGATCAAGATGGATCTGGTATTTCCATTGATATAACTAGATATCAATGTATTGATTGGTTCATTACTTTATTTGACGATAAGTCGTTCTGACATTATGTTTAGTGTTTGTCTTTGTGCATACTGTCATACCCAAAATTTGCCCCAGGATTATTCATTCATCACATTTGCATCATTAGTCAGTCATTCTTGCATTTAGGTTGATCAAAAGTCAATTTAAATCAACATTTGTATCGTTTAGAGTTAAAAATATCTGATATCTCACTTCATGCATTTTTATCTCTTTACACCACTTTATGCATTACGCTAAATTGTTTATATTTCAATAATATTGATATTTCGATTCTACAGACAGATTGTTAAAAGCATTTCGTCAATATACGAAAAATTAGTAGGCAAAATATTATGAGTTTTCACCTTTATCTGTCTGTTTTATAAATCTACGTTGCGTGTAGATCATGTTGTTATGCTCGTTTTATTTTTTCGATGCAATTTGCAGTCTCTTTTTTAACTATCAGCATTTGTTCAATAGAGTATTTTTATTTTAGTTTTATTTTCGATTTCGGTCATTTGCAATAACTTTTATTAAAATTTGTAACCTATGATGTGTTCATTT